CACGGCTATAGAATACAGCCTTTTCGGTCCATTAGTCGTTCTTCTTTTTTTACTTTTATATACATCCTTCCTTCCTTCCTTCCTTCGCGATTGTGATGTATTTAATCATATTTATTTCACGCGCAACGATCGTTATCTCGCGTATGATCGCGATATTTGAACTTCTCCTTCGTCTCGCAAATTCCTCGCCTCGAATCCNATATATATATATATAGTTTCCTTGATTCCTAGGCGAACAACGATCGTATTAATTCGGGTCGGCATATGTTTACGCGGAACTTTGACTTTGCGATTCGCCGATCCGTAGATCGAGGTTTATACCGATAATAGCGGTTTCCCTTGTTTCAAAATGGGATAAATTTAACTTAACGTGAAGAAACTCCTCTTCGAGACGGAAACTATCGAACCTTCTTTTCTCAGTTAGAAAGAATTGAATTTCGTCGAGAGATTAGATTATATATTAAAATTAATTACATTTTGATACACGTGAACACGCTTTTAACGCGTTTACATATATAGATAGAGGACGATAATACGAAGACGGCAATCTATGCATTTACGACTCACAATCGAGGATTAAGGAGACACGGTCGCGATATGAAACGCGAGCGATCATCTTCTCCTCTTGGGCCTGGCTAACATTTTCAATCGCCTCGAGCATCTCGCCTTTAAAGCCAGCGGCGAGACCGTGAAAGCGTCTTCCCTTAGGTCCGTCTCCATCCCGGCGGGCCGTTCAACCGGTTTCGCAAGGTTTATCGTCCTTGGGGAGGCTACGAAATTAAAGACCATGCATCCTGCGTGTCTCTTCTAATGCTTCCACTCGACGCGGACGAATAACGAAAGAGGGAGAATTAATCTAACGAGAGTTGGTAAGCGGGCGTTACACGAAAAATGGCCGGATAATTGGGAACAGTTGCGCCGCAAACTTGTCTCGCGGTTGCCCGCGCTTAACCGCGTGAAAAGAAAATTTCGAAGGGAATTTACATTTTGTTGCGAGCAGAGCATTTTGTTTGTAGC